GGAGTCACAGAGTTCTTCACCTTTGTGAGTGAAGAAACTTCTCTCAGTGGAATGAGATGGAGGAGCCATGCCGCCAGGGAGGTCAGGTCACAATGACTACTTCTGGGTAGACGCGGCCTCTTGAGTTTGGTTTGGAACTGTTTTTGCCAGATTTCTCAGCCTTCCTCTTTAACTCAGTTGTTGTGGGAAAGGCTGTCAGCCAGGTGGTCTCATGCGAGTTTGGGAGGGTTGGGAGACTTAGGTAGAGAGATCTACAAAGAATCCCGATCCTTCACCTCAGTTCACCCCATGATGTCTAAACTTCCAACTTCTCTTCCCCTGGCCGAGGGTGTCACCTTTTGCCAAAGTGTAACTATTTCCTAAAGGCCTAGTGTTAAACTCTTATCACAAACACCGAAGAAGGGATCAGATTAGCATATCTCTATGCCCAAGTCTTAGTCAAGAGGGAATTGGACTCAGAATAGAGATGCTCTAGGAGGCTGAAAAACAGCGTTGTCTGTCAGCCGGGGCTGTTGGGGTAGTACCCTGAAGGTGGAAATCCAGTGCTGCATGGAGCTTCTAGAGGCTTGCTGAGAGAAGTAGAAATCCTCAAAGGAGGGCAGAAAGGGCTGAGGGTAAGTTTCTTTGACTGGACAGTACAGCTTTGAGTCAGTGCAGTGAGAGGTTTCGAGACATCTTTCTAGGTCAGGGGAGAGAGATAAGATCTGCCAGAGGTCAGAAGTGAGCAACAGGAAAGTTATATAAAACAGGGACAATGCAGGCCAGTCGGCCCCTGTCTTGCTTCCTTGCTGCCTGCCTGATATTTGAGGAGACCTTTAAAGCCATTATGCAGATCTGTAGTGGACCTGCAACAGAAGGAATGCTTTCTGAAGCCCGTGGAGAGCTGAGAATCAATTCCTTCTCCAAGGGCCTTGGTGTCTAGCCCTTCCTGTGTGGCCCTCCACCAGACCTCTCCTTACCTTCTAGGAGGGCCTTCCAGGAGAGAGAACCTAAGAGTCCGTACCTGGAGTGTATGGGCAGACAGGGTGCATTGTAGAGTTCAGCCAAAATATTTAAATGAAGTCAGTGTTCATGGTAGGAGAGAGCAAGAGACAGAGCTGACACATCAGAACATCTCAGAATCGCCCAGGGTAGCTGGCTGAACAATACAGGCTTCTGGGAGCATGGCATCTGTGTGAATTGTCACCCCCAACAAGGTGAATCTGCTGCCCATTAAACTTTGAGAACCCTGAGATGAGACTGGGTGAGATTAGCTGGCAGAGGCCTCCCAGGAGAGGCGGACTTGAATTTCAGTTTCTGGGTGATACCTCTTTCAGATACTGTCTCTATGTGTGGACTCAAGGAGCCTGTTCACCCGGGGACATGGGGCTCTCCCAGGAGAGGCTGGCGAGTGTCCATGTCATTCCCTGGGTGGCGTTTCTGAGGTATTGCTGCTGACTTCCATTTGCCACTTGGGCACTAATTGCTGAGGGGACAGAAGTGCTGTGGGAGGGTGGCTGAGGATGGTGTCTGCTAGAAGCGCAGCTTGCAGGGCAAAATGGCAGCCTGGCAGAGCCTACTTTCTGGAGTCGGGTAGGAGGAGAACATTAAGTCTGTGAATAGTCTTCATTCCGGTTCACAGATACCAGCAACCGTGCCACCTCGTGTGTGGTCTTCACTCACCAATTAGCTGCACATATCTGAGGGGTGTGGATGGTGCTGATGAGAGATCAGTGGTCCCAGGTGTCCTGGGAGGTGAGTGGAAACTATCTGGGAAGTGACTGGGTCTCTCCTCCCTCGCTGCTGCTTGCTTTCTGCTCTATTCACTTGTGCTGGCTTTATCAGATTGAGAACACAGTGTTTTTCTTTTGGGTGGGTGAAAAGATGGAGAGAGAGCAGTGCCAAGAAGGCAAGAAGGAACGCTGAGGAGAGACGGGAACACGTCGCAGTAACTGCGGAGCATCCAGACAGGCAGCAGCCCTCTGTGGTGGATGGGTGCTGCTGGCCCGCAGTCGCTGGTTGCTTCGGAGTGGGCTGAAAGAGCCGTGCCAACAAGAATGGCTCTGCCTGCATTGACTATGAGGAAAGAAAGAGCCACGGTGTCTCCATTGTTTAAAGCACAACAACAACAATAACAACAACCAAAGCCTACCTAATAAGGCCCTGTCCTGGCAATAGCCTGTCCTTTCTAATTGCACCACAGCTGAACGACAATCCTAACAGTCTCTTGGAACATTTTATTCAACTTCTAGAATGGCTGTCTTAAAGGCAGTCTTGGGGGCCTCTGTGGGAATAGCAGAACTGAGCCATGGTGGCCTGGAGAGCACCAAGGAGCCCTGCTTAGTGGATTGAAGCCAGCCAAGAGTACAGTTCCAGGCTGAATGGGTTCCCCCTGGGTTTGACCCGGTGGGTGATGCTGTGTTCCAGGGTTCACTGTGTGCGGGGGAAGGTGCCTTGCACCCAGGTTGTTCTCTATTAGTCTTTATTTTCTTTTCTGTAGAAAATGACACCAAGTAAGAGAGAGGCTGGAGTCAGCTTCCTTTTCCAGGCCCAGTATTGGCCCCAGTCGAGAGCTACAGTTCATACATGCGCTTATATGGTCAAGAGGGCTGCCTGCCTGCTTCCCAGGTGAGGTTCTTCTCACAGCCCCTCCATCCAGGTCTTCCGCTGTGGTAAAAAAATCTCACATTTCAAGTTTCGTGTAAGCTGCATTAGGAAAAAACGACTTTGGCATTCTTACTTGGACATGTACTCTCCAGTCAACGGGAAGCCCAGGTCCGAGGCAATCTGTCACAGGCTGTTTGTCAGTCACTGCACATCCCATGCCTGGGGCAGGCTGGCACTCCCCTGCCTGTTAAGCACTGCTGTCAGCCTAGTGCCACCGCTCTAGGAAAGGAGCTACATTCTCTAGGGAAGTGAGCTCCAGGGACCTTTGCAAGGGAGACGCGCATCACACCTGTGTATCATTTGACATAAATTGTTCTACTTCTTGGAAGATGGCTTTGCTCTTTTGTAGACAGGGAAGGTGATTCTTGTCCAAAAAGACCTTACAGGGCCCAAAGGAGCTGACAGATGCGAAAGTACTCCACGAGCTAAAACACTCAGGCCACATGTGAGCAATGGATTCTTGCTATTCACAAAAGATGAGGACCGTGGGTCATTCCTCCCTGGAGAGAGGAGGGGGCTTTGCATTCTTGTGTTAACGGCTCGCAGGATTCTTGTCCATTTAAGGTAGTAACAAAATCGCACTAACTGCCTGAGAGGTACCTTTCTGGGCGGCTAGAGCCCTGCTGGACCCCGCAGCTGTCCTTTAATAGGGCCTGGTGAGGAGACAGGGATGCTGGGGGCAGAACCCGGGTTGGATCCTGTGGCTCCGCCCACTTTCTTCCTCTCTCTCTTAGCTCCTGCCTCCCCAGCCCCCACATGCCTCCTTCCTATTCCTTCAGAAACATGCAAACCATTTCACCTTAGAGTCCCGGAAATGGAGGATGCAGAAGGAGCCCCCCTTGACTCCAGCTGCCTGATGGAGACCAGGAGGCCGATAGGTAAAGCTGGCATGGCTAGGCTGAAGGAAAGCCGCAGGGAACGTGGGCAGGGCAGTTAGATGAAGGTGCTCCAGACCTGGAATCCCCTCTGCCATCATATCTGTGTGATCATGACCCCTGTCAACAGAGGGACAGCCTTCTGACTGAGCAGCCTCCAGGGAGGGGGGAACAGAGCATTTAGCCCCTGCTCTTGCAGCTTTCGCGAGCCCGAACTAGTGCCCAGAGGCTGAGGCGCTATACTCTATCTGTAGTCAACTCTTCTCCTTTTATTGAAGTAGGATGATATATGTTGTCTAGAGTCCCATGCTTGTTCGTTTAGTCAGTCAACAGTCACTGGAATGCTTCTGAGGTAAGACACTCTATAAGGTAGGTACTTTAGAGGACTCAAAGCTGATTAAGGAGCAGATCTGAACTCCAAGTACTTTATGGTCCAGTAAGGGAGAGGAATTGTGTATGAAGGAGAAAGTGGATTGAAAATGACATAGAAAAGAGGAAAGGTCAGGGAAGGCTACCTAGATTCTGTGACATTTGAATGAGACACTGGAAATGTTAGGGTTTGGCCCTGAGAAGGGGCATGGAGAGGAAGGGCTCTGGCAAGATCATAGCATGGGAAAGAAGGGTCAGAAGGGTAGGGAAGTAAGGTTCCAAGGGCAGGGGAGAAGGTCAGAGAGTATCGTTTATCTGCCCCACTTAGCAGGGATGCTAGTTTTCCTCCTTTGGGTTGAGCCTCACAGTTCCTCTGTGAAGCAAATGCTGGTCTTTCCAGTTCATAGAGGAGGAAGTTGAGGTGAAGGCTGGGAAGTGTTAAGTCGGAGCCAGGATCTGAACTTGAATGTATCACCCCAGAGCCCACATTGTCTCTCTTTACTATAGCCTGTGAGGGGAAGTAGGAAGAAAGGACCTGTGCAAGCGCTTTGCTGTTCCTGAGGGTCCGGACGTCTTGGATGGGGAGTCCCTGAGGTCCCCACAATGACGAGGGAAGGCTCGTGGACTCTTTGGACTGGTTCCAGAGTCCGGGATGGTTGAGCATCTGGCTTCCCATTCATCATCCTATTGGGAGAGCCACTGGCCTCCGTGTGGGAGGCACAGGAAGCCAACATGGCAGGAGATACTAGAATGAAATTTTAAACGTGGCCTTGACTGTGGATTTTCTTTCCCAAGGCTACCTCAAACCTTGCCACTTGTGCAAGAGGCCTCTCTGACTCCCTCCCCCGCATCCCCAGCCTCCCCTGGGGTCCGTGCAGGCTCAGTCTGCACACAGCGGCAGCGTTGTTCTGCACTTGCTCCTTTGTTGCTGTGAAACGGGCTCCCGGCACAGTCAGCCTCTGTGTGGGAGGACTGGTGGCTGTCTCTGTAGGCAGGCATTTGCTTAGAGCAGGCTGCGTGTTAAGCCCAACATCAGCGAATCTGGCCTTCTTGAGACGGTTGGCCGGTGGTGGTGGTGGGATGAGGCTCTGCCCTGGAGACTGTCTGTGAAGGATGAGTTCGGGGTGGGATGACGGACCGCTTCTGGGACCAGTGGTATCTTTGGTATCTCCGCTTGCTTCGGCTGCTGGATCGAGGTATCCTGAGTGCGTATCTGGTCGTGTGTCTGTCTGTGTATGTGTGTATGTATACAAGCATGTGTGTGTGAAAGAGAGAGAGAGAGAGAAAAAAACAGAGAAAGGTGCAGCAGAGAAGGGAGTGGGAGAAAAAAGAAAGAAGAGTGCAAGAAGCAACAGCAAGTAGCAAACCCAGGGCAGATAAAATAGAAGGGCTGTTTTTCTGGGGACATGTGTGACCCAGCTGGGGATGGGGACGCAGAGGCATTTGGAGAGCAGCTGTATAAGACAATCACATTCCTTGCTGGGTCTTTCACCAGGCTTCGTGTCGTAGTCAGGCAACTTAAACTGTCTCGAGGGGCTCTCTACAGAGCATCTGAGAGTGCTGCAGAGGGGAGACTGGTCCCTGCAGCTGAAAGCTGGGGCACACCTGGGCAGACTCCTATCTCACTATCTCAGCTGCTCTGTGACCTTAGGCGGATTTGTGTGTTCATCTGAGCTTGTTTCTCTATCTGTATAATGGACGTTTGGGGACCTATCTGCCGTGGTTATTGCTTAATTCCTGCATGTAAAACGGACCATCATAGTTACTGGAGCTACAGCACCTGTCCTGGGGACAGCTCCTTTTGTGGACTCCACAGACAGAGCCTGTGCAGAATATGTGGCTAGGAAGAGAGGAAAAGGAGAGCCAGCTTGACATGTCTAGTTACTCTGACCTTAATACATGTCACCCACATTTATTAACGCAATCAAATCTCCTGGCGGTATCATGCAAGTCCAGACCTTCCACTGTAAAGAAAGGCCACTGTGAACTTCGTGTAGTAATTGGTTTATAAATATTGACTGTTGCATTTGAGAGCTTTGGCTCCTTTAAGAAGTTTTGGCAGGAGGGAGACAACATCTTTGATGAAAAATATGGTGCTGGAAAAGCTCCGCTACCCACCCCAAGCTGTATTCCTCTCATCAGGGTTAATCTCAGGTACACCCGGAGGCACATACCAGGTGGAAGCGGAGCTGCCCGGAACAGATGTACCAAGGTCTTATCGGGAGGAGAAATCAAAGATGGAGGAACCCAAACCAGCATACTCAGGAAGGAGGCTTTCATTAACACTCAGAAACGCCCATGTGGAACCAGACAGGAGATGAGGTGTGGAGAAAGGAGCCAGAACTTTGTACTGTTGGGGATGATAGGCTGGGGAAGGGTAAGAACCCCCTCCCCTTCTGTGTGATCTCAGCAAGTTATCACTCCTCAATGTCTCTGTGTCTCCTTTCCTTCCATCATATGTGGTAAAGGGTTGCTGAAGGGGTTAAGTGAGCAGCTACGGATCCCTGTGCCTGTCAGGAGCAAAATGCCACTTGACTGTTAGGTCGCACTGATAAAGACATCTAGTTCCCACTCTCCCCAGACATCCTGGGAAAGACAGGAACAGGTGGCATGTGACAACCCAGACCAGAGTAAGCTACTGAAGAATTGTTAGAGGCATAGGGATGATTTCTGTGAACAGAGGCCATGCTCAGATAAGCACATCATACTAACTTAAAGAAGATAGTAGATGCCAAAATATATGCTATATTTATTTTCAATTTTCATAAAATGCTGGAATCCACGAACTGCCAACTTGTTTCAAGTACTAGCTTCATTACTTTCCAAGGGTCCTTGAATAAATAATTTGTCCTTGGCTCATCAGTCTTGGCTCAAAAATGGGAATATTAATAACACCTACAACATATAGTTTGCAGGAAATGTGTTAGTGCATGTAAAAACGTCCCACATAATGAATCTGTGGATTGGTGGATCCCTCGGATATCGGAAATTGGCTGCCAGAACTGTGTATTCGCGCATGCGCATTTGGCCACGAGGTGTAGGCTTGTGGTCATTCCTGTAAACAGTGTCTATAGGGGGTTCCTTAACATGAGGTACCAGACGATTTAGGACATCTGATTTCAAGGCTCTTGTGAGTTGGACATGACTCATGTCACTCAGTCTTAGTCACTGGCTAACACAGTATTATAAATGTCCACATGACATGTTTGCATCTGCATTCAAGCAAGATTCTGCACATAGCAACTATAGTAATATTAACCAGCACTGCCTAGGAGATGGTGTGCTTTGCAGATTGAACTGACTCGGGGGAAGTGCTCAGCAAACATTAGCTGGATGAATGAATAAATGAATGAGTGAATGATGAACCCACCTTACAGAGCAGATCTGTTTCCCTCAGATCTCTAGGGAAACAGAACTTAGCTCCTTTCATCTGTTTTAGGATTTTTCTCTTTCCCTTGCCGTTGCCGTGCCTTCCTCCGTCCTGAAAGTCACAGGCCTCAAGAAAGCAAGGAGGGAGTAAGAGATGAAAAGAAGTGGGAAATGACGAGTGTAGCCCAGGGAATTGAGATAGTGGACAGGTGGTGTGCTGGCCTGAGTTGTCTGCTTGGCTGCGACTGGAGGAGAAATGAATCTATGACTTGACACATTTAAAAAGGGAGGAAACACCAGAACACAGCATGGAGCAGAAATAAACTTTATAGAAAAATAACTGTATATGCTTTCTTACTATAGACACATTTTTTTTTCCATCTCCTCCAACATTGTTTAGCTAATCTCAAGACTCAAAAACTGAATCTGTTGTTTTCGAGAGCTTGACTGAACTGTATTTAAGGAGTTATGTGATAAGAATCTGTCAGCTTGTTCAGACATTACGTTTTGATGATTTATTCTCATTAATAACAGATGCAGTTTTTACTGTGTGTGTTGCTGGGTGTTTATCAACTCTACTGCCTATGGTTCGGGCTTACAGACATTGGCTAAGGAGATAGCTGCCGTGATGGAAATGTCCACCAGAGGGAAAAAGCTCATGCAGATAAGAACCACAAGAAGCAGCCTCACTCCTAGTATTACATTTCGGTGTGTCCGCAGGGACCTGATGGGTCTGGTGAGGGAATGCCAGCATGTGGGAAAGTCCACCACTACCATCCCATGAGGTGGTTTTTGGCGATTTACAAATACTGCTTGAGTTTCTCAGCCTGGAGGATGGTCTGTTCTGGCCAGTGTTTGATTCTGCCATGGCTGTTACCCATGCCTCACCTCACCCCATCTGCGTGGGCCCTGTTAACCCCACCTGCTCCTCATTCCTTAGCTCTTCATTCTCTCGCTGGCTTTCCACCTTTCCTGCTTTAACCTGTGGCCTCAGATGTTGGCGTGTGCCCCCTCAACCCCCCCGCCCCTCAGGCCTGTTCTCCCTGTGCCAGCACACTAGCACACTCTCGTGATGCCTGCATCCCCATTTACTACCTTCAATTCATCTCCAGATTCCTGTCCATTTTCATCCCCATCCTGGGGCATTGTCCCTCTCTCCCCTCTTTTCCCTGCCTTCTAACTTGGAATTCCTCTTTCTCTTCAGAGTCACAGTTTTTCTTGTGGGCTGCACTGTTTTTCTCTGTCTCTCTGTCTCTCCTTACTCTCTTTCTCTCTTCCTCCCTGCCTTCCTCTTTGTGTGTGTGGTTGTGTGTGTGTGTGTGTTCATGTAGAGGTCAAAGGTCAACCTTGGTTGCTGTTCCTTGTGAGTTTTTTGGTTTGGGTGTTTTTGTTTTTGTTTTGAGACAGGGTCTTGTATTCAGCCTGGTGCTTTCTGTGTAGGCTGAGCCCTGGGTATCCACCTATTGTATGTCTCCTCTGTGCTGGAGTTATAAACATGCATTCTTGGGATCAAACTCAGGTTCTTAAGCTTGTGAGTCAAACACTTTACTGAAGGAGCTATCTTTCTAACTCTCCCCCAGCCTTTTTTATGCCACCATGCTTTTATCTCCAAGCTGTTATTTTCTTTTAAAAATAAATTTACGTATAAGATGGACTCAATTTAAAATAATATATGAGAAGTTATAATGTAGAAGATTTGGAGATATAGTTTTAAAAAATGGTGTTTGGAAACATTTAAATGACAGACCAAACTCACAAGATGCATTTTAGGCTGCTTGATTTTTTCCCCGCTTGGATCACCATCTACATTCTGATGACTACCATAAAGCACTTGGGATTTCGGACTGGAAACTCTCAAAGTACACTGGAATCATCTGGGGCATCTGGATTAGAACCCCTGGCAAGGACTGGCACTGGCATCTCTGCAGGTGGTTCTGATGGAGGCAGGGCTGGGAGCTGCCTGTTACCATCTTTTAATGTGCTGCCAGAGAGCAAGGGCAAAATGGCTCTGGGTGGGCAAAATAACAAGGGGAATGAGATAATCCATCACTGTTGAGAATAGCAAATACAGAGTAAAGAGAGGATAAACTAGAAACAAAATGTTAAAGAATGTAATCTCTGGGATATGATCTAGGCAACTTTCTCTAGAGACTATAAACATTTCCTATCATCGTCTAGCTAAACCTCAACTTTCCATCATATTCCTGGGGGAAACATGATTGGTCCCAACTTGCTTTAAGTTGACAGCTTTCAGTTCTGGCTGCCTCAGGCTTTGGACTTAGGGATGATAATTTGTCACACTGTGTGTCAAAATTCTCTCCTTATTTGTTCAAGGTAAGTTCTACTGTCATTAGGTGGGCTTTACCCACCTTCTGCTCAAATCAGAGAAAGGATGCTCTCTTTCCTACTGTTGGGGAGAGGGAGGAGCATGGAGGTGCTTGTCCACAGCTTTCATACAGTAAGGCTCAACTCTGGCCAGGAATCTACTTGAGATTTTCGCTAAAGTTCCTATCTCCACCTTGGGAACTCCCAACTATTCCAGCTCAAGGACTGATTCTGCCCAGGTACACTGCAAGGTCAAGGGGCACCTAGTTGCCTGGTCTGGGCTTTGAAGGCTCTTTGGAAGTGTTGTCCTTATTACGCTTGCCCCTGGTTGTCACTGACAGATGTTTTGTCTCTTGCTTCCTGACAGCTTAGTTATCCAAGCAGCTTTGGCCTCTACCTGGATTATACTTGGTGTCTCTGCTGAGATCAGCCTGCCACAGGCTCCGACTGTTCACCTCAGATGGCTTTCCTGTTCTTGTCAGTGGTTATGCATGCATTTGGT